CGGACAAAAAGAAACGGCTTGACAATAATACGGATACGAAAGTTGTAAACGGATAAAGTACGTACGGATACATATACGTGTATTAAACGGAGTATTTACTAACTAGGCCAGTTAGTTACGTGCATGTATTAATGATCTTTGGATCCTAAATCAAATGAATAATAAAAAATTTAAAAATCCGAAAAGCTTTACTCATGAGGTCATTCCAAAATTTATAATACGCAACAATAGTCGAATTACTTAATTGATCTAGGTGAGTGAGAGCGACACACCTTGGCTAAAAATCTTGACGAAAAACTCATGTTTCGTCATTAATTTGAAACTATAATGTATGCCACAACTTAAAAAATGGTGATTTACGCATATGCTGCTATTGGAATTTTTGAAATTACTTTATTTATTATGAAGTTAATCAAGGACGAATTTCGGAATCAAATTATTGACCGATTTACAAAGAAAGCATTCAAAAAACCTTTCATAATATAATTCGTTACGCCTTGCCGTGATAAACAATGAAATTGTATAATCTAAGAATTATATTTATCATTTTTTTTATCAAAGACACCTATTGACACACTTAATCCACATATTGATAATTTCTTACCTTACAATTTATTACAAGTACTCTTTCTTTGTTTTATTTTTACAAAAAATAATCATTATATATTGATCAGAAGAATAGATAAGTATTCTTTCTTTGTCATTGTCACTACTCTAATACTTTTGCCGGCATCTCCCTATTGAAATGTTGTTGATGTTTTACTAAACTTAGCATCTTTTTTCCTATTCACTACCTACTTGCATTTTTTTACGTAATAACATGTTAGGATTTTACTACGGTGACATGCATGTTAAATTGTACGGTGACATGCATTTTTTTTCCTATTCACTACCTACTTGCATTTTTTCATCCCTAGAGAAAGTTCTTCAATCTTGGTTCTAAATTTACTTTCCAACATACTACGTAAATTATACCAATGGTTAGATATGCTAAGATACTTATTTTAGAAAGAGTTAATTATCCATTGTGATAGTACATTAAGATTGTTTGACTAATATCCATTCTAAAACAAAAATAATTGTTCGACTGATATTTTCACTTGAAGCTGGTCAATATGTCATCCAAATCCATGGGTACTATTTACTTATTCAACCCAATTGAATTGTGTATGAAATCCAAATACAGGTAAATTGGTAGAGTTTGATGAGTTTATACTAATATCCATATTTGGGTTGGGTTAAATTTTAATCCATGGATTTGTACCCATACTCATATGTAGATTGTAGTTTGGTACCTAAACTTAAAATATTTAAGATTGAGTACCTAAATCATCGATGAAATTTTTAATTTTTAGGACCTAAACATTTCGAGACTTGCATTTTGATACCTTCTCTATTTAATTTTTTACAAATTGATCCAATTTTGTATGTGTAGTTAAAATGACTTCAAGTAAATGGGCAGCCATACGAACTTATACCCATTTAGAATATGGAAGCAACACCCGTACCCTACCTAAATTCATCTATAAAACCCCAAACATATGTAGAATTCACTCATACCCTTCCCATAATCAATGGGGTTACTTGGGGTTTGGATGAAATTGTTTATTGGTGGATAGTTGTCATCCCTTGCAAAAGTTCTTCAATCTTGGTTCTAAATTTACTTTCCAACATACTACGTAAATAATACCAATGGTTAGATATGCTAAGATTCTTATTTTAGAAAGAGTTAATTAATCCATTGTGATAGTACATTAAGATTGTTTGACTAATATTCATTCTAAAACAAAAATAATTGTTCGACTAATGTTTTCACTTGAGGCTAGTCAATATGTCATCCTAATCAATATATGATTTGACAACTCAAGATAGAAATGGAATTCTTCAATGTCGGATTTCGAGGAAATGGTTGGCAATCAATCCCAACACATACGTTATTCTTCGTCTCAATATGATATATATTGATTTAAAGGTAAACTAACAACAACCACACAAATTCAATTATATGATTCAAGTTTAATATGCCTACTTTTTTCTTTAGGATAATGACATTTGGGTGCAAATGTCCAAAGAAAAAATCAAGGACTTTCAGCCTTTGTTTCTTGACTAAAAAGTTTACACTATCTAGAACTTCAAGGTCAATCTGACAACGGGAGGTTAGATGCCAATTACAAACAAATTAGTCATCATGTTTGAATCAAATACTGAGACCGAAGCATGCAACGATGTTCCAACCACACCAACTTACAAGTTTAATTGCATCAAACAATAAAGGTTGATAATAAGGGCAACCATAGGACATTTCTTTCAGGTTTGAATTACTATTCTCAATTAAAATTTATTTCAATTTGACGGGGATATAAAAAAGTTAACTTTTAAAATTTTCCTTCCACATATGTTGTTGCCCAACATATTTAGGATTTGGGTTTATTGACATCTACTTAACTCACTAGAAAGTTACTCGCAAGGAGTTCCAACTAAAACTTCTCGAGTATGTAATTTTAAAACTTTCAAATCAAAATAACATGCATTACTTCTCGAGTACTTCTATTAAAACCGTACAATCACCTCAAAGACGAAAACATATAGGTAACGACCTCCTGAACTTGCAATCATTATTAAAGTGAAATTGGGTTTGCTATAGTTCGGTGGTGAATATATATGCCAAATGGCGTGATGTTAATTCTCTCCAACTTAGATTCTACTACCAATGCAACAATACTTTTTTTTTTAATAATTGGCAAAGTATACAAAGGGTACAGTAGGAAAGATTACGTTCACAAGACATACGGTTTGGCATGAGGACATGAGGTGACTAACGAAAGTCCCTTAACAATACATTTCGAGCTTTTTGTTGTCTTCAAATAAATAGATGCTATTATTTCAGTATTTTTTAAGTGCTTATTATTATGTTCTATGCATGTAATTTGCATCGATAATTATTGATGTTTTTGTTGAAAATTATAACAATGTGCTTTAATATGATGACTTTTTCTATTTTTAATTGAATAACTTTGATTATTCGAGGATACCAAATGAAAATTATATTACATTAACATAATTTTTATGATTGTGTATGTTATATATTATTATCATTATACAAATTCATGATCCACATTTGAGTTGTGGACAAACAACTAAGGCTGACTTTGTTGTTATGGATTATGTTGAAGTGAATTTTTTGGAAGGTTGCCTGAGAGGCTATTCCAACACCACAATAAAATGAGAGGACCTCTCTTTACTCCTACAAATTGAGTGGATGGTGTTGAATTTCGTCATCGAGCTCACAAATTACCATATCTCTAACGCAACAAAGTGATTATAATGCAAACGATCTTCTTCACTTGATCGATGTAAATTTCACGTGAAAATGAATATATCCGTATTAATTACAAGGTTAAGTTATTCTCTATTGGATGGAGTTTATTTGTAACATGCATCCGTGGAATATTTTATTTTGTAATGCATTTTATTGTGTCTGTCATCCACTAACTATCATATTCTCAACTGTATGCATCTTCAATTTTTAAAGACGTCAATTCTTATACCATGCAAAAAAATACATGTGGTTGTATTCTTTAATCTGTAGACAAATACATGTCGTTTATAACTTCAAACTCTAATGGAACTTTACTTAATCTCTCATTAACATGCATGCAATTGTATCCGGCTACAATTTTTACTCCATTATATATTAATCACTCACGATTAGATAAAACCCCACCATATGTTGTGCTTTTGAATGTCAATAATCTAAATGAATAATTCTAATGCATGGGAACAAGAACGAGACTGTTAAAGTTGGAGGTAATGAATCCAATGCTAGATGATGATGATGTAGAGAAAAAAGAAGAAATTATTTGCAAGGGATATACAAGTACCGGTGATGGGGAGCAAGATCACATCATAGATGTTGTTGATTATTTGGAAAAGGTAAATTCTATTTCAATAAAATAGATCATTTTTTATCTGCAAAAAAATCATTAAATTTTTGTGTTAAATGAAACGCAGGAAAACCGGAAAGAGGCTATTGTAATGCAAGGGAAAAAAGAAGAGACGATTGATAGTGGGGATAAATGTTTTCACAAAGGGAGATGAAGATATTGTTATTGGTAGAGATGATGATGTTACTCATAGTGGAGTAAATGCAAACAAGTAAAAAAAATAACGTGTAGAAATTCCTAAAATGGAGGAGTAAATAAAAGGATGATTTGAACATTTTTTAGTAGTTGGTTACTTTACATGAGGTTTGTCTTTCATTTTCATAAAGAATTTTAAGTCTACGAGTCAGTTAGAGTGTAAGAAAACACTATGATGTTGATCATCTATTCATCTTAAATGGTTCAAATATTTTAATAATTTGAATTCTCTTATGCTACAAATCCTTTTGAATGTTTAAAATATTTGAATAATTTAGATTTTCTTATGCCACAAACTAAACATTTATCTCACATACTAATTGATTCTATAGTTTATGCGATTGACGAAATTTATCCGGCTACTTGGCCGGGCCTGTGACTAGTAATATAATACAAGGAAGGGAAAAACGGGATTCTCATTTCAAAATTTTTGCCTCCAGATCGTTTCACGAAGGGGTAATTTTGGAAACATGAAGTTTCTTCCGCGCGGAAGTGGAACGCGACAGCAACATTTAACGGGCCCAGACAGATGTTTCGGCCCACTAACAATACACCCACAATCTGTATTGAACGAGTCGAGGACTTTTTCGACCCAGAAACCCAAAACCATAGACAACCACGCCCAATCTTCCTTGTATCACCGTCTTCAACTCCCCCCCAGCTCCTTGCGCATGTACGCCCGATGAGAGTCGCTTGTTTGCCTCATGTCTCTTCAAGACCAACGACGTCTGAGATTACGATGAAGAAGATGATGATCGCAGATGGACGTCGATCATCGTTCTAGCCGTGCGCTCCCACGCGACCGCGACGATTAGCTCTCAGGTAAGGTATTTGATCCATTCTCGCAGAGGAGATCGAACGATGGAGGGGCGAAGGAGGGATGGATCGGACGACGATGAGAGCGTTAGGAGGTACTCGAGCAGGATCGATCTTCCGGAGAAGATCTATATGATGGTTCAGGTGAGGAAGAGCGAAGGGATGTGATTAATGTTTGCGTTTTGAGTGAAGACTGTTTTTTTTAGAGTGTGGAGGGATGTGATTAATGCTCTCAAGCGTCTTTCTGTAAATAAAATTCCTACAGTTTCCGGTTTTTTCCCTCTATCCCATTTCGATCTGGGTTTTTATTCAAGGCAGATCGTGGATGTAACAGGGGTGAAAGGTAAGTCTTAAATGGTGCTTCTCGAAGACCCAGTTATCCAAGAGAAGCATTACCTTGAGACGTGGGGGGTAAAACAAGATGGAGAATGCTTCCAAGTCCATCTCCGAGATCAGCTTGGACGTCTACAAATTTCTTGGTCGGGTATGTAACCTTTTCTCTTTCATTTTTTTCCATGGATTGCCGATAATTAGATTAGCAAACACTAATCCGGGTGTCCAATTTGCTTGCATTGTTATAAAATTCAGCTTCTGAATCAATGATTAGTAAAGGTGAGAAGGTAATGGAGAATGATATGTTGAGCTTGATCAAGTTGATGAATGAGGTGCTGAAATTGAATGGGATTATGGGGGATGAAGATGTCAAACTACCGAGGAAATTGCAGGTAAAAATACTTCAAAAATTTTATCCTCTTCAACTTCATAAAATTAGTCATGTTTTGATTTCTAATTTGACTTCGATTTGGCTAAACTTTTACGGTTGAAGAGAGTTGAGAAGTATGTAGATACAGTAGACATGTTGAAGGTCAATAACTCCTCCTTGTCAAACTATCAACACAAGCAATCAATGGACATAGCCACATAGGTTAGCTTCGATTGAGCAGCATCAACAACAACAATACATGCACTCAGATGACCATTATGCATCCTACCAACATCAACAACAACTGTAGCAGTCATCAAGGCATTCAACTTCAGGGTCTGTGGTTGTTACCACAGAATGGGAAACATTTGATTCAACACCAGGGAAATCATCGGCTGCGGTTCCTTCGGAAGCTGCCAACAATACAATTAACCAAAGTTCCCATGGGATCAGGGTTCTGATTCTTTGTTCAGGGTGATGCATTATTTTTGAATTTATATTTCTTTGCCTTTTCTATTCTTGATATATTACTTTGTGTTGGTTTCTCATGGTACATGAGGATTCCTTTACATGGAGTTTCAAGCCAAATCGGTAGACCCTTGCTACTGAAATATGTATTTGATTCCTTTGTGGTGTTGTGGTAGATTGAGAGGGAAAGTTTGCAGCTTTACTTAATGAGACGATAACACTCTATCCACTTAGCTTGGTGTGCTAACTACAAGTCACGGTTGAAGAGTCCAAGGTATCAAACACCTACTATGTATTGTTCATTTCTTATGGATGGTGCTGCGAGGGTTGGAGCACAATTCCTGACCAGTTGCAAGTATTTGTTGGTCCCTTTTGTTACTGTCCATGTGTTGTTGTCTTAGATGGGTGACTAATGTTGGCAATTAAATAATGCACGAGGTTCTTTTACAAAGACGAATAGCACTGGATATAAGATAGATGTACATAGCTAGGTAGTAATGTCAAATTTTTTTTTATGTCTAAATCCATATTGCCCTACCCCACACCAAGGCAAGCAGGAAAGGGATTACACCTATATTCGAAAGATTTTGTATCATATAAGGTTATGGGTTTTGACTCTTCATGTTTGGGATTTAAGTGCTTCATCATGTCTTTTGTTTTCAGTTTCAGAAGCTAATGATAGGAGAATTTGGAGTTAAGCGACAAAAGTATGTGAGGAATTGAATTGAATTTCTAATTATTTTATTTACGTTTTTGGGTCATTGTTATGTCATAATCTATGTCATGTTGGTTTTACTGTATGAGATAGAATTGTGCTGCGAATTTCCCCGAAGTTAAAGAGCGTAGATACCGTAGGTTTGAGGGATACTTGGTAGTTCTCTTTTATAGTTCATTATGTCACCTCCCATTTTGCATGGCCCATTTTAATTTCTTTTCTTCATGAAATACGAGTTGGTAATAGGCCATTTTGGTTATAGGCTACCTGGTGTGATGCATTGCCAACTCACCCATTTCATTACCCTTTCTTTCATTATCTATTTGTTTAAAGTGTACTATATCCATAGTGAACTCTGAAAGAAGTTGGGATATATCTAATATGTGCATGTTGCAGGTTAGTTTTTTTATTTTGTATTTCTATTCATCCTGTTCGTTTTGCTGTATTAGATAGAATTTTGCTAGGCCTGGTATGTCTACTAGCCAATAGGGAAATTGAACTTTCTGATACATTTAATTTCTTATGGTACAAGTTTTATCGTTTATTCATGTCAAACATCATAGTCAAATTTTCTTAGAAATAAATGGATTTTCAATTGGTTTTCTAATGTCATTCTTCACGACTACATAGATAGCCCTTCTGAATATATGTCATTCTTTTAAGGGCTAATACCACTACAACACCCGAACTATCACAAAAATGCCACTTGTATCCTATTGTATCAAATATTCCATCTGTGTCCTGAACTATGATACTTTGTGTCATTTGTATCCTGTTAATTTCGTTGACCGTTAAAGATAACGGTTGACCAAACGGTGGTCAACGTGTAGTTGACTTTTGTTGACGTGGCAAAAAATGTGCCTGCCACATAGATGCCACGTCATTGACCTCATATTTTTTAATTCAAATTAAATAAAAATTGAGTTATAAGTAAAATAAAAAATTCTTAGAAAATTAAAATAAAAAATAATTATTTGCTCCCCACCCCCAACCCAATCTCCGCTTCTTCCTCTTCTTCCCCCTCTTCCTCTCCATTCCCAGTAACTTTGTCGCCAACCACCTCTTCCTCTTCCCCCTCTTCCTCGCCATTCCTAGTAACTTTGTGCCCACAACTGTTGCGGCCTTTGACTGAGAAATGGAAACCTGGTGGAGCTTCTACCATTTTTTCGAAGAACACTAATTTTTTCAAAACAAAATTTGTTCAATTCAACTCAATCGAAGATTGAAATCATGAATAAAGCATTGTAATACGTTCTGGGTGGGAAGAGGTCGTTACATGGGCCTTGATTTGGAGTTTTGCCGAATGAGAAAGATGATTGGAGCATGCGGTGCCAAGGAGCCGGATGAAAATCTGCTGCATTTCTGGGTTCGAAAGGTAAGGTGAAGGACTGGGAGGTGGTGGCGACCAGGATCGACGGTGGCTGGCATGAAGCCTTGATGACGACGGAGGACTCACGACGCTCCTCCATCGGCGACTCCGACCAAATCACCCACGGCGGCGTTCCTTCTGTTTGGGAGATCCAGTCTAGGAAGCCGCAGATCCCGCCGAAATCGTCGCACAGGCTAAGGAATCTTCGAGGTGTTTCTGGGCGAAAGAGTAGCTTCTTGGGCGATTTGGATTCGGGATTTCAGATCAGGAAATTGAAGATGTTTCCAGGTCGCATGCGTCGCAACTTTTAATTTTTGAGAATGGGGGAAGAGGGGATAATGGGACGAGGGGTCTGTGAAATGAGTTATTATTATTTTTTTTAATTTTTTCTTTTTTTAATTTTATTAATTTAGATGGAAAATAAATAAAAACTAATATGAAAAATTCCACGTCAAATGCTACATCAGCGCTGACTAGATTTTCTGTTAAAAACTAACAGTCAACAAAAGTCAACACTAACGGAATCATAGTTCAGGACACAGATGGAATATTTGATACAATAGGATACAAGTGGCATTTTTGCGATAGTTCGGGTGTTGTAGTGGTATTAGCCCTTCTTTTAAACCTTGCATACATAGCAACAATATATATATTATGAGGTCGACTGTTCAGGCATCTTGGCTTTCCTATGTTCACTGCAGGTTTTAAGTAGTAGCCTCTCCTGACCAAGATCTAAATATAATTACCCTCTACCAGTCAATGAGTCGGGCTTCGAGTGAAATTAATGCTATCCCATCAGTTACAATTGGCCAACTCAATGACTTGAGATAAGGCGATAGAAAGCATGTAAGCTCAATCCCATTTTTCTTGGATTCTTATAATCTTTTTGTGAACAATCAATCATGTACTGAAAATTCTGTTTTGTTATGATTTTTTTTTATGTCTGTTAGCAGAAACCATTGAACTCCTTTGCAATGTTGATATTATGAGGCCATATCCTAGATTGGAAATGTTACTATGTATTTGTTTTCCGTTTATCAATCTTTCCCAGTTATGATTATATAGATTCAGTGCATTTGAATTCTCAAACTTCCAAGTGATTATGTGCTTTACAAATTGAATCTTTCCTACTTACTTGGAGTTACTTTGCAAGTTTTCCAAATGACAACTAATTTTAAAAGTACAGACGGTTTTAAAAGTTAAAACATGCCAATTTTAATTTATCAATAATATATTTTTATACATGAATTTTTTTAGTGAGTGATGACTTCGTCAAATATTCAATTGGATAGATATATGTCCATGAATAGTTTACAAATTTGGCTCAATTTCTGTTGATGTAAAATTTCATATTAATCAACCAATTTGATCACCAACTACAGGAGCAACATGTGTATGAGTTCGAGAACTTTGTATTCAAGCTAACTAAATGGGACTACCGATCAGCCGGTAATGGGTTGATGCTATAGTTTAGCAAAGAAATTACTAAATGGTAACTAGATGATGTAGAAGAAGCGATTAGACTCACCAACTCACTCATAGCTAGGGATGGCAACAAAACCCGAACCCATGGGTACCCTACCCGACCCAACCCAGTCAACGCGGGTAAAACCCGCACTAACGGGTTTTGGGCCGGGTTTGAATTTAAACCCGTACACTATTCATTGGGTCGGGTTTGGGTTAGGGGTACCCGACCCATGGATACCCGCCCGCACATATTTCGTCGCCCTACTCTCCCTAAACCTTACCCTAATTCTAATTTCCTCCGATCTAACTCTCACTATACTTATTCTGTGTGATTTTATTTAATGTAATTGTGATATGTTTGAATTTCTAGAATGGTGTTTTATGTATGGATAATTTATATAGGGAAATTGATGTTTGAATTTTATTTTGATAGGAACTTGTTATTGTAAATTTTTTACCACAAAAATCCATGGTTACCCATGAACCCGTGGATACCCAGCGGGTTAGGTTGGGTTTGAGTTTTTCAAACCTGGTGGGTTTTACCCCAGGATTTTTTTACGGATAAACCCATGGATTTGGGTTTGGGTTTGGCAAAACTCGACCCAAGCCAACCCATTGCCATCCCTAGTCATACCTACCTCCGGCCAACTGGCCGAGGCCGACGCTAGTGATTGGGTAGGGGTGTGAGATCTGGTACTAGACCAAATTCTAGAGAACTGCGTTCCAATAATGAAAGCTATCTTAAGGATTAATAATCGGACAAACAATACATTTGATTCGATCCAAATGTCAATTCGGTTAATTTTTCTTCAGTATTTATAAAAATGCATGGTACCAAAGACTAGACCATATTATATTCGGTTCGATTAGATTTAATCTTAGCGTTGATTTGATCCAGTGCGGTCTGATATGAACTGACCCGTTGCACACCCATGTGATTGAGGTCGTTTGGATGGGATCTGAAAACCAGGACAATTTGGATAGAGATTTGAGTAAAAAACTTGTTTGTTTATGTGTGATTAGTTATCGAACGCCGCATTTGATTAATTTGATTTTTACATATTTGTAAGCATACTGCATTGTACACTTATCTATGTCTTTGTACACCTATCTATCTACGACAACAACCAAAAAAAACCGTAAACACCTAAATATAAAATTTCCATGAACACCTTCCCCTTCCTTTACTACACATCTTCTTCTAGTGACGCATCTTCTTCTAAGTCAAGGAGGGAGCTAGGTAGGTACAACAAGGCAATCACACCAAACCTACATAATTAATTACTAGGAGTTGAGTAAGGGGATATTATGAACTAGGTTGGGATGGATGGTCGGGTAATCAGAGTGACATCTTCCTGATCAATGGACTTAATTATTCGAGTAAAAAAAACTTGTTTGTTTATGTGTGTTTTCAACCGTAAACGCCTAAATACAAAATTGCCATGAACACGCATCTTCTTCTAGTAACGTGATATGCTGGTTGTGCGGAAATAATAGATTTTGAAAGGAGATGGAACGAATGACCTATTTTTTTTACTCGCTCAAATTTGATTTATTGAAACGTGAAAAATTAAATGTTTGTCACCGTTTTGCACTAAGTTAATATATTTGTGACTGTTTATATTACTTACTCTTTATATAACATAAGATGTTTAATTCAAATAAGTATTGAATTCATCTTTTGTCAACAAAATTATATGTCATAGTTATTATTAACATATTAAATGGGGAGGATATTAAATGAAGAGGCAATAGAAGAAGAGAGAAACTTTTAATGGATTTTTTTAGAATTAATAGCACTAAACCCCCCCCCCCCCCCCCCCCACCCCCAAATATAAAACTGTCACTTTTATCTTCAAGTAAAATTAGCAAATATTAATGTAACAGGTTAGGGAGCCCTTTGCTCCCTTTTTTTGACAAAATTTTTTTAAAGCAAATATGTGTTCAAGAAACGTGACTAAGGCACCAGCTCCATTTTGCACCAAATAAAAGTTTCGAAATTATAAAACATCGTCGTTTCTATGCTCGCCTATAGGCATGCTCCAGTCAGTATTCTTTTTTCTTCACGACATTATTCCATCGGCTGACAAAATCATTAATGGATGCAGGATTATGTAAACTTCACAATTTTCCATCTAACCTTTATTATTTTAGTTTTCCTATAATATTTATGTTTTACTAAGCTAAAATCAATATATATATATATATATATATATATATATATGGTGGCTACTTCGGTGCACTCACTTTTTTGGGTGCATTCAGTGCACCCACCTTTAAAAGTGGTCATAATACATTAAATTTTGAAATTTAATGGGTTGTATTAGTCTAATATGATGATATAACATAGAATCCCAACTAATCAACCCATTACCCTAACCTATTAACCTTCAATTTTGAATCTCAACCCAAAATCCCAAATTGTAAACCCTAACCCTAACCCTAAATTCCTAAACCCTGAATAATTCAAATTAAAGTGAATCTTGAATGATTTTTGTACAAATTCATGTGGTTCTTGTTCATCATACCATAAGTGATGATTGACATCATTTTCACATGAATCGCCTGCTCAGAATGACGATTATGAGGCGGGTACATTGAATGCACCCAAAAAAGTGAGTGCACCGAAGACATAACCATATATATAGCGTACGCCCGGGGCGTACCTTAGTCTACCGTACGCACGTTGAGTTTTACTATTAAGATCATGAATTAACCGGAGTTTTTCGCATGATACTATACCCTAACCTCTAATGGATAAACCCCAGTCCCTAATTTTCTAACCCAACTCATGAGATTCATTTAATCTTAAAAAGTAAATCAACACTAATTTTGACAAATCAAGACCGTTGATTTTCATTTCAATATTAAATGAATATTATGCTTTGGATTAGTGAATTAGGGACTGGGGTTTATCCATTAGAGGTTAGGGTATAGTATCATGCCAAAAACTCCGGTTAATTCATTATCTAAATAGCAAAACTCAACGGGCGTACGGTAGACTAAGGTACGCCCGGGCGTACGCTAGCCTGATATATATATATATATATATATATATATATATATATATATATATATATATATATATATATATATGGTGAGTTCTACGGTACCCAGGGTGAAATCCGGGGTACCGCATACCTTGAGTATGAAAACGCTATCTAGACCTTGAATTGATTGATCTTTTGGACATGATGTCATACTCTAACTCTTAAAGATAAAAATCTAGGTCTTAGTTCTCTAAATCTTATACCCCAAGATCAATTTAATTAGAAACAAGAATCGATGGCTATTATTCGTCCAAATATAGACAAAAAGATGAATGCTTCATCTTAGGGTTTATAGTTTATGATTTAGATAATTAGGACCTAGGGTTCACTCATTAAGGGTTAGGGTATAGTATCAAGCCCAAAAATTCTGCTAATTCGAGGTCTAGATAGTGTTTTCATACTCAAGGTATACGGTACTCTGGATTTCACCCGGGGTATCCATGGTGAAATCCGGGGTACCGCATACCTTGAGTAAGAAAACGCTATATAGAACTTAAATTGACTGATCTTTCGGACATGATACTATACTCTAACCCTTAAAGATCAAAATCTAGGTCTTAATTCTCTAAATCTTATACCCCAAGATCAATTTAATTAGAAACAATAATCGACGATTATGATTCGTCCAAATATAGGCAAAAAATCAATGCACCATCTTAGGGTTTATAGTTTATGATTTAGATAATTAGGACCTAGGGTTCACTCATTAAGGGTTAGGGTATAGTATCATGCCCAAAAATCCTGCTAATTCGAGGTCTAGATAGCGTTTTCATACTCAAGGTATGCAGTACCCC